ATTTGATACACAATCTGCCATAAATTATGGCATCCCATTCACTTAAGGTTCATTGATACTCTGATAAGAGAGATAACTCTACAGATAAGAAAGATAACTTTCTGCCGACATTTTGTCATGAAATTCAGTAATTTGTCATGTCAGAGTTTACAAATCTATATCATATGGACCATTTTATTGTTAACTCAAGCAAACCTAACCCATTGATCAGAGGTTGATTTGTAGTTCTATTGCTAGTATATTCAAAAATTATTTTGAATAGTTTACCTAAAACATTTACACTCAGTTCCTTTAAATGGTGTAAATTGATTAAAAATCTATTTCTAAACGTGAAAGTCTTTTAATTGTACAGAAATAAAAGCCGCAGAATTGTTTATAAACATTTAATTAATATTTTATTTCATTACAAAAGAATTTCAAGGGCGATAATGGAACGATAACTCTTGCTTATGAATGCATTTTATTTTACATGCACAGAAAACAATTTGATATTCTGATTTAAAAAGCATCGCTCCAGTATGTTTTCTAAAGGGAATTAAATAGGTATGAGAGTAAATATTATTTTTATATATACCTCATATTTCTAATTTAATTGTGAGATTAAAAATAATTGATCTTTCTAATGACCATATCAAATTTTCTTCAAATCATGATTTGACATATCATTTATTTCTGAAAAAGTAAGCAACGCTTCATACTTCAAACTATTTTTTATTTGAATTGAATGTTATAGTTGTTGCTGAAAATCAATGTTTGGAATTTTTAAAAAAAGTCGTCAAATGTGGAGCAGAGGGATACTGTCCCTTAAACAAAGAAAGCAAAGGACCACAATTCTTTGAATTTGCATGTATAATCTTGATATGGAAACATCCTCATATAATGTATATTCAAGTTTTTTATGCAACGCCATGATTAAGAATACATGTATTAGTTTTTGTCATGTCCGTCCTCCACCCTTCCATCTGTCTTTCCATTGAGCTCAAAGAAATTACTTTCTAGATATTTTATCAAAGTTCATATGCTGATGCATATACTGATGTAAACTATCCAACGGTGGCAATATTTTTTATGCGCCCGGATCGATAGATCCCGGGCATATATTGTTTTTGTCCTGTCTGTTTGTCTGTTTGTCTGTTGTCAACTTTAACCTTGGCCATAACTTTTGAACAATAAGAGATAGAGACTTCATATTTGGTATGCATACTCCACTATTAAAGTCCTTTCAAATGACATCAAGGTCAATGACCTTGTGACCTTGACTGTGACCTATATGCTAAAAATAGCTTTTTCCACTGTTTGTCATAACTTTTTAACCATAGGAGATAGGGACTTGATATTTGGTATGCATACTCCTCTAATAAAGCCCTTTCAGTTGACAACAAGGTCAATGATCTTGTGACCTTGACTGTGACCTATATGCTAAAAATAGCTTTTTACACTTTTTGCCATAACTTTTTAACCATAGGAGATAGGGACTTCATATTTGGGATGCATACTCCACTGATTAAGTTCTTTCAAATGACACCACGGTCAGTGACCTTGTGACCTTGACTGTGACCAATATGCTAAAAATCGATTTTTTGAACTTTGTTTCCGCCGGGCGCATAGTGTTTCACAAACACATCTTGTTTACCTTTACTTTCCTTTGACCTTTACTTAACTTTTCTTAAAATTAGTGTTTAGCTTTATTTTAGAGAAACCATAATGATTCAAGTTGTGTAATGAAACTTCACATGATGATACATACTGATGTAAGCAATTAAAGCTTTACAATGCTTCACTCTTTTTTACCTTGACATTTCCTGTGATCTTGACCTCACTGTCTTAGATTAGATCAGTTTTGAATAAACAGTTCAAGATATATTAATCAAACTTCATATGCTAATACATACTGATGAGAGCTATTATTGCATTAACTTATTTTGACCTTGAATTTTCTTTTGACTTGACCTCACTTTTTAAAATATGTGTTTATCTAATTTTCAAATAAACCATTAATTATATTTTTATTAAAATTTATATGATAATAGTAAATTCACACTGATGTAAGCTTTTCAGCTAGAACAACATTTTGACCACAACCTTTCCTTTGACTTCTCTTTTCTTAAAACAAAGTGTTTAGTTCAGTTTCATTAAATCATTCAAGATATTTTTATCAAACATAATAAGCTAATATGTATTAGTGAGAGCTATTCAGCTGCATCAAAAACTTCATCTTGCACATTCCTGTGACCTTGACCTCCCTCCTCTTTAATATGTATTTTGCTTAGTTTTTAAGAAATAATTTAAGACATTTTTATGTATAACATGCACTTATACATAACTTGATGAGAATTTATTATCTATATCCAATTTATTTATATTTTAGTTTCAATTCTGAAAAAAAAACTGTTTAAGATATTTTCATCAAACTTTATACACAAATACAAATTTTAGTTTTTAGTTTTTAGCTCACCTGAGCCAAAATGGCCGACCAAAGTTTTACATAGAAATATATGGGAAAATTCTTTGAAGAAAAGCAAATCCATGATTGATCATGGGATTACTTTTGGATTTTAACTTTTCAATAATAAACCAATTTCTACTTTTTCTTAGCTTCAGTACTCAGGTGAGCGATGTGGCCCATGGGCCTCTTGTTTAATGTACCATTAGTAATACACATCTGGCGGGACATTCATGTCCTATAGACATATTTCTAGTTTTTCAAATCATCACCTCAGGCTAGGGTCAGGCCACAATTAGGGATCAAAGTTTTATTTAGGAATAAAAGGAAACACATCTTTAAAGTTCTTCTTTTCAGGAACACCAAGAGCATGATTAATATGGAAAAATTCTCAAGAGGTGTAGATCCAAGTTTGTACAAATCATGACCACCAGGGTTAGGGAGGTGCCATATTTTTCCAGCCCCTTTTTGCCATCCATATGAAAATTCAAATTTTGAAACCATTTTACACATACACAAAACAAACCAATCATTTTCTAAATGATCATGGTTTAAAGCTATTGCAGCATAAGATATAAGGGAATTTATTGAAAGCAGGGTGATTAAACATGTCAAATATATGTTTAAAAAAATATATATATATATAAATTCTACCCTTGATTTGATCCCCATCCCCCCCACCCCAAGGGCAAAATGAAAATTCCGAAACCTTACTGCACGTCTACATGACACCACCAACCATCTCTTAAAAGATGATAAGGCTGCTGAGTAAAATGTAGAAGGAGTTCAGGGAAGAAGGGGCTTTTTGTATAAAAAAACGTCATTTTTCGACCCCCATTTGATCCCCCGTGGCAAAATCAAAATTCAGAAACCTTACTGCACATCTACATGACACCACCAACCATCTCTCAAAAGATGATTAGGCTGCTGAGTAAAATGTAGAAGGAGTTCAGGGAAGAAGGGGCTTTTTGTATAAAAAACATCATTTTTTGACCCCCATTTGATCCCCTGGGGCAAAATCAAAATTCCGAAACCTTACTGCACATCTACATGACACCACCAACCATCTCTCAAAAGATGATTAGGCTGCTGAGTAAAATGTAGAAGGAGTTCAGTGAAGAAGGGGCTTTTTGTATAAAAAACGTCATTTTTCGACCCCCATTTGATCCCCTGGGGCAAAATCAAAATTCCGAAACCTTACTGCACATCTACATGACACCACCAACCATCTCTCAAAAGATGATTAGGCTGCTGAGTAAAATGTAGAAGGAGTTCAGGGAAGAAGGGGCTTTTTGTATAAAAAACGTCATTTTTCGACCCCCATTTGATCCCCTGGGGCAAAATCAAAATTCCGAAACCTTACTGCACATCTACATGACACCACCAACCATCTCTCAAAAGATGATTAGGCTGCTGAGTAAAATATAGAACGAGTTCAGGGAAGAAGGGGCTTTTTGTATAAAAAACGTCATTTTTTGACCCCCATTTGATCCCCTGGGGCAAAATCAAAATTCCGAAACCTTACTGCACATCTACATGACACCCCCAACCATCTCCCAAAGGATGATTAAGCTACTGTGAAAAATGTAGGAGGAGTTCAGGGAAGAAGGGGCTTTTTGTATAAAAAACATCATTTTTCGACCCCCATTTGATCCCCTGGGGCAAAATCAAAATTCCGAAACCTTACTGCACATCTACATGACACCCCCAACCATCTCCCAAAGGATGATTAAGCTAAGCTACTGTGAAAAATGTAGGAGGAGTTCAGGGAAGAAAAGTGTGACAGACGGACGGACGGACGGACATGAGTAACAACAATATACCCGAACTTTCTTTCGAAAGTGCGGGTATAATCAAAGTTCCAAAGTTTTCACCATAGTAAATCAAAGTTCCAAAGTTTTAACTTTGGTACTATAGTTAACTATAGTAAACTATAGTTAACTATAGTTTACTATAGTATTTTTTTGTTAGGGATGCTTTGTAAAATATTTTAAAACATTCTGTAAAGATTTCAAAAGTTAAATAACTGAACTGCCATTCATTATTCTTAGTATTAGTTTTTAAGATGTTGTTTAAACAAACGTTTTGCTGTCCATGTTGATCATATTTGATTTTATTTTAACATATTTCGTTAATATCTTTGGAGGAAATTTGGATTTATTTAGATTAAAGAACTCATTGTATAGAAATCAAGAATTTCTCATTTAGTAAATTACACACCATGTAAGAGATTCTCCATGTTTTGCTACATGTAGTACCGAGTTTTATTGTATCTGATAAGACGTCACTCTATTTTCTTTCTAAAGGAACTTGGACACAGATTTGAAGATAATATTTTCTCTATAATATTGCGACTTATGTATTTTAATAGCATTTTACACTTAAATCAAATGAAAATCTTATTTAATTTTAAAGTTGTTAAAACTTAAGTTTTTTTTTTGTGTGTGTGTGTTTTGGCGCGTTTGATCGACACGTCCTTGCATTTTCAGTCGTAATATTATAGAGAAAATATTAACTTTAAAATAGTGTCCAAGTACCTTTAATACGTTGACATATATCAACTAAAAATACACATATATGTGAAGAGCAAAGAGTAACCTTTTAACTTGCTGTCTTCGATAACAAACAGATCTTCATGGACCTCAAGACCTACGGTTGATTCAGTTGGCTTATCTTCATTTGTGCCCTCTGCTTTATGACGCTGTTTCAGAAGAAATGCGTTTTCTGACCCTGTACTATCCTTATCAGTTTTATTTCTTCTTTGAAACTTTCTACGAAGAGTTCTTTTCTCTGCTCTTGCTCTATTTTTATGTTTTCTCGTCCTTTCGTGAAGCTTTCTAAGAAGAGTTGTTTTTCCTGCGCCCGCACATCCAACTATCATTCCCCTAGCGCGAAACATTTTCACATTTTCTTCCTTGATGTTTTTCAAAAACCTTCTTCTAGCATGGATATCCCATCTTAGTACTTCTTCTGGTATATTTACTTAATTAAAAAAGATAAACATAGTTGAATAATTCTGTGCTGAATGTTTGTTTAATGTCTTTATACATGGAATTATTAGATAAATGAAGAAATAAATGGATTTAGATGTAATAATACAAATACAATTTATCTGAACTTCATTTACATTGTATACATATACATGAGAATGCATACTTTCTTTATATAAATCCGTATACTGAAACAAAACCATTTTCGCGTTTTCGCGTTTCCAATTCTATACCATATGAAAACACAGAAGCACAATAACCTTTACGGTAACATAAGTACAACAATTATAATAAGGATCTATCCACGGATAAATAAACCTTAGTTGCCCAAAAGAAAAAGAAATAAATTAATTACGATCAACAGACGAATAAGTTTGCAACTTATCTGTCTTCCCATTCATCAATATAACTATGAAACTATGATCATTAAATTTTTATTATTTAATAGATTTTTACTATAAAAATGATTAGAACCGTGCCTTAACACCAGAACCTTGTCCCTGGGGAAATAAATTTCACAAATTTTGAAAAGGCACTCTTGCTGATCATACCTCCGTACAAAGTTAGCTAGTTTCTTTAAACCAAAGAGCAGATATAGAGTTTTCAAATAATTCATTTTTACCACTTATCTAGTATATCATCAATAGAACCCCAACCTAACCACATATCACTCAAATTCAATATTCTTGAAAAGACACTCTTGCTCATCCAACTTAGTATTTGGTCAGTTTATCTAATATCCACGAATAGAGAAGATTTAAAAATAAAAGCATTTTAAAAACATATGACCAAGGACACTAGTGTAAAAATGTAAATGTTTTAATCCGGTACAATGAACAAAGGGTCTCCGGGTAGATAAAATATAACAGGTGTCAAAAACTTCAGAGTCAAAGACGAGACTAAACATTTATCTTTAGACAATACAAATAATTGATATAATCGAGTGATAAATAAAAACAATCTATTGTAAATATTATGTTATTGAATGTAATTTGAATTTTTGTGTTAATAGTTCACTTTCAGTTGGCTTTCGTCAAGACAGCCATGCTGTGCTCTCGTCCGCTTATTAGCGGAGACTGTCCCCTTTCGTAATAAATCTGTTAAAGCTGCATATTTGGAATTCCATCTTATACAACAAAATAAAAAATGCACAATTTAGACGGTTATAAAAGATGCAGAATACCGGGTACGACTCCCTTTCACAGCCAAGCGAGCTCTACCTATCGATTCCCCTAACTGTCTACGAGAATTCCAAAATTTCAGGAAAAAAAACATCTTTGCTTTCGTACAGGCCGCTATATGTAAATCGCAGTCTCGGACCACAATGAAGACCTGAAGACTATTTCTTTCAGGGTCATCACCAAGTTTGTGTCCGATGTCGAATCCTCCATGGACCATGTTGCCGTGCTCAAATGGAGCAGTGTTACATGTACAGATGTAAACGTCATGATCAGCATGCAAGAATGTGAATGAGTGTCCTCTCTTCCCCTGTGAGGATGACCATGATAGCAGATACTACTGAACCAATCTGAGAGCATCGTTTCGGTAGGCAAAAGTCAAGAGACAAAGTTCGTTTAGGAAAAAAAACAAAGCTCAGCTACACATATTGTCATTTACTTTGAGAAATATAGCGTTCCAGGACAGCCAAAACATCCATCTTGGACTTAAAACGGAAATTCAACAGTTAAACCTCAAAGTGAAAGAGATGGAAATATGTCGACACAGTAAACGGGATTATAAACCAAAAAGAAAATTTTGTCCAACTTTCAACGAGACAAACACTTTCATATACGAGGGCTGTTCTAGAAGTAATGCCACAGTGTCGATATCTTTCATATTTGGCGTCATATAATCAAATACAATATACCAAGATACATTAATACAAATTTAATTAACACTGAAATATTCATTTCATTATGTTTACTTGAATTTATTGATAGACATTTAAAACATAGAGCATAGGGAGTGTCGCTGCGTCGCAGATGAATGTTTCGTTTTGGAGTGAATTTTTACGTACAGACGTACATATTACAAAAATTCTAAAAAGTACTTCATCTCCAATTGTTTTTTTTTTAATTGTGTCATTTTAAATTTTTAGCATTTAATTGTAAATGAATTGACATTATTGGTATTTGTGATAACAAACATTGTTGTTTTACTCTGTTGAATTGAACAAAAAGATTGTCGAAATGAGGAAAAAAAGCTCGACAAGTTGAAATAAATGCATTTTTGCTTCGAATTATTGGAATATAATCTATTCCATAACAAAACACGATGTCGTTTTTTTTAATGGGACTAGCGGGGTATTGTCACAAATGAAAATGTACCATCGGATATTTTGACAATTACTTTGGATTTTTTCAATTCAAATTTCTCACATCTGTGTTCAATTCAAAGTTCTCACACATGTGTTTAATTAATTTATTTACAATTTGCTTCAATCTGTCAGTTTTATCTATTTTGAAATATTTAATTATCTTAATAAGCCATAAGTGATTTTACCAGATGGAATGTGCTCTATGTAACCTTATTACTGTTTGAAATTAAAATCGTAATCAGTAACTCTACCTGTAAATCAAATTAAATCATGTCATGTACTTTACTCAAACTTGTAACTTTTCAACTATGTCTATAAATACAATTTTTTTAACACTTAAGGAGTTGGAATCGGGACGCGCTTGTCCTTGATATTGTCCGACCCGACTAGAAATAAAGGTCTGTATCTTCATTTCTACCCTAGTTGCTTTGCTACAATCACACGCATCTAACGCGTGGGATAGATATACTAGTAATAAATAGAAGAATATATACTGCAACCTATGAAGGTGGCTTTGTCAAATCCCTTTTCAACCGAATTATCACATTTTTAAAAAAAAATTTAACAGACACCTGACAGATTTTAATAATTTTCACAAAAAACATTAACCAAATGATAAATAAAGAACCATTATACACACCCCTGCTAATGTGTTCGGAATCTTTTATTTTTCGGTGTTCAGCAAATAATAAAACCTGATGAGTTCAGGGTAGCTCTGGCAGTGGCTCTTGCGAGAATTAGCGAGACTTCAGCGAGATATGGTATATTATTCACGGAAATGTGAATAGGAATTGACTAGCACGTGGAGGCATGGTAAATAGAAAAGCTATCTTGCGTTTCAGTTTTCACCACCCTAGAATCAGCTGATAATATATATGTAGCATGCATGTACATGATCAATCGATCTCTTTTACATTCATTCAAACTTACATTTCCTCTATAATACAATTCTCTACAGTCATATATTAAAATTTCTTTTTGGACAAATATTTTTTGCATGGGAACCGGGACTATGTTTTTGGCGTCATATTAGCAAATGAGGCACCAGCATTATTTTAACTGACCAATCAGCTGAATGAGTATTGAATTCTGGGTTAGTACGAATACTACAGGAATTGAATTTTACACTTGAAAAAGGGAAAATCTTGTGTTAAATGAAAAGCATTTTTAAAAAATATCATTTTCATGTTTATAATCACAAACAATTCATTTGATAAATAAACGGCGGAGGTCTAGGTTTCTGAAAGTCATACTGCAAGAGTATGGCGTGTCTGTACTCTGTATTAATTCCTTTGTTGTACTATCGGTAATTACAATTGCAAAGTGAATTCCCTTGCCGAACACGTGATAACGAACGTAAACAAAGTTTTGTCCATTTAAATACATAAGAGATGCAACTAGTTGTTCTTACCCTTCAGGCCTTGAAGCGTTGGTTTTCTAAGGTAGACTTTAACTACACTTTATTAAACATTTTTATTTCCATTTAACAACAAATTAAAAACGCCCTTAAAATCTTTCATTGTTTCTTATCTTTTTGTATTTTGTTCGTAAGAACATTTTCTTCTTATTTTGCAGTCCATTAACATGATCATACATTGACCTGAACTTCGTGCTCGAAGTAAAATGTAAACATGTATTTTGCATAAACGTTGCTATTCATTCAACGATTGGAAAGTTGCTCGTGGTAAGATCCTCTGTGCGCAATTATACCAATAGCCATATAAGGCAAACAAAGGTTTGTCAGTGTAGATGATAATGTACATTTTTTTACCAGCGAATCGGTCACTATAGTGAACTCTAATTTTCGCCGAAAAGTATGATGTATTATTATTTTAACATCCCCTCCTTTAGCCAGGCTTTGTCAGTTGAAAATCATGAAAGTCTTTCAGAAAGGTCAGGAAACATTTATTACAGGACATGTTTTCAAAAGAAACAGGCTATAGCAATATCATGTTAACTGCCTATTTTATTTATAAAACCCCTTCTATCCTATAACCTTTGAATAGATCAACATAAACAACGTGTCCTGAATCTAAATCACAATAACGTTAGTAGGGGTAATACAGTGATTTGGAGTTTTCCTGAAATGTTAAGATGAGAGCAGTGTTTGTGTAAACATGAAAGTTGAGAGTGTCGTTTACCATTATAATGATTTATTTTAGGAGTTAAATATATTGCTTAATATAATACAGCTAGAGCAATACAACTGCATGAATTTTACCTGTGCTATAATTCCCTAACTACATGTATGAGTGCTTTTTTCCTATTGGTTAAATTTTAATTGGCAAATGGAAAAAAATATATTGTCTTTTAAAAATACTTACAACGTTTACTGATCCTTTCATGAATCCTCCCGTCAGACACAGTACAGTGTGTGATGATGTCAAGCTTTAGTTTGTCTATGAAGAGGTCGTACATCTTGACCGGACTGTACGGTATATACAGACATCTCTCTCCCTCACTCCTCTTATACCTCCAGGACCGGCAGTATTCTGAGATCACGTCACGTGACGCCGTGGTCAGGAAAAACTCAAGATCACTGTCTCCAACCAGGCACTCCGTAACAAAGGCGTACATGACGTCATGCCTGATGTCGTCTGACACAAACGTTACCTCATCATTCTGGGTTTCGATGACCACGTGCTGGAGCTGTTTTAAATCAATATCATTAGATGGAGAGAGTTTTTCGAAATACCGTTCACGCATCTTTGTCAACATTGACTTGACTTGACTTGAATCTCCATTTACAACAGAAGTGTATTTGTCACACAACAGTAAACTGTAGAGAAAACTTTTGTCGTCTTCAGAATAATTATGATATTTGCCTGAAATAAAATAAAAATAAAGAAAAATAAATTTCATGGAGTTTTCAAAGCTATCATTACTTTACAAATCCAAATGTACGACGTTTTTAATATTTTTTTAAAGCATAAAATATTTTTTTAATGTACTATGAAATTAATAAACACAACATTACCAAGACTGACGATACAAATTATACAGTTCATAAAAAAATTATATAATAAACTGCACACTTTATTACAATTGTAATGTTTTTATGTAATATGTACATAGTCATTTTATACAAATTTGGAGCATCTATAATTGTACAGTTGCGTTGAATTACGTCAGTTTGGAAATGTATACATGCATGATTGCAGACAACATCCAGATTTCTGACGTACAACTTGCATTCATATCAATTTAAATCATTTTTTTTTAATCGAAGAATTAAAAAAAAAACATCCACTTTTTTTTTCTTATTATTTTACAATACTTATTAATTATGCATACAATTAGTTAATGGACATAAGAGTTTTTTTTTTTCAAAACTATTGTAGCGGACACATTTGCAAAATGCACGCAAAAAATGCGTCATGAAAAAAAATTCTCTTTAATTCAATAAAATGAAAAAGAACGCTTGCAAAAATTGTCAATGGTATCTTAAGAGTTTACGTAATTTGCCCACCTCATAGATGACTATCCAGTAGCAGTTTGAGTCTGATATTAAGCTTAAAAGAGTTAAGAACGTGAATTTACGCAACCAAAAGGGTGTTTTGCATGAAAACCAATGGTGGCCTTTTTCAAGTTTTTGAAGATTTTCCTCTTTTTTAACAGTCTAAATTATGATCTTTTTTTAAAAAAAATTGTCCTATTCATGCCCCTTAGAAATAAAAGTCTATATGTTCATTGAATGCAACTTAGCATGTATTTATACCATATGACTTAAAAATCATGCGCCTTCTGTCCTACTACAGAATTTCAAAGAAAATGAGGAGAGGGACTGAAATAAATCAATTGTATTCTGGATTTTAATATCTTAATATTCATATAAATCATCAATCCTTAGTTTAGGTAAAAACAAGACAAACAGAGAAACAGACAAACAGACAGGACATAAACAAGATACGCCTCGGATATATCGATCCGGACGCATAAAAAATTACGAAACTTCTACATACGTGTATCTCTTATTTCTCTCATCCTACATCAAGGGACATAAAAAATTATTTATTTATTTTCTTTTTATTTATTGTTTCTTCAGATTAAATGATATTTTCATCTTTAATTCGTTTATAAAACTAGGATTGACTTAAGATGAACCCATTTCCTCCAAAGAGTTCAACAACGCTTGAATGTACACAAACTGAACCTCGATATTTCTAATTTAACTAAATGAGTTTTTCATGACTTTGATTAAAGTTATAGCCAAAGTTAAAGTTTTTTCCAAGTACAAAAATCTCCAAGGTCAAGGTCAAAAGTTCAAGGTTGCTGCTATCAAATGGAAGGTGTTTCCATAAACAATATACATCTCAAGTATTAATGTTCTGGTGTATACTGTTCAAAGATATGGCCAAAGTAAATCCTTAAATTTTTTGTGTAAAAGTGGTTGAAACTCCAAGGTCAAAAGGTCAACTTTGTGGTACCCCCAATAAGGTATTGTCACAAGGAATACGCATGTGAAATATGAATGGCATAGCTCCTCTAGACCAAAAATTATGGGCAAGGTTAAAGTTTTTGCGGACAAACAGAGAGAGAGACAGAAAGACAGATAGACAGACAGACGGACACGACAAAACCCTATGCCCCCAAAACTTCGTTTACGGGGGCATAAAAATTGCTCTCATGTCCAGAATTGAACACTGGTGCCCTGCTTGGGTGTCCGCAACCTTATCGATTTATACGTTACGACTTCTTGCTGAGGAATGTGAATTTAAAATCAATTAATTTATAGAAATTGATGGAACAACCAGTTCACCTGTTGTATCGAGGAGCTGTTATGTTATATATCTGGTAAATATTTTATATATTCTATGTTAGTTGCGCGGATATGGGGGACAGACTAATTAATTACACATCTCCTATCGGGATGATGACAATTATCAGAGACGGGCACCTGTTCCTGTGTCACAGATTTGAGATCGTTGTAAATTCTCTATCTATAAACTTAGTAGAATGATTTTTAAATTAAAATCATAAATTTAGAAAGCTAAAATTTACTATATCTATTATTTTCTTCAAGAGGCATATATAAACGATTTATTCGTTCTTGTAAAATGAATTTAAAATAATGTCTTTCAAAAACTAAATATCCTGCAGTTTTGACAATTAAGAAAAGAAATATGATCAGTAATACTTGGGATCTTCTAGAAATGGTTTAAATAATGTAAAAACTGTCTCGTCAATCAAAACTAAATATTTCCATGAAAAAATACTCGTACAAGCACTAAAGAATGTTATGCAGCATTTATTTAAATTTTGAATCGGTTATCGAATCATCAATTTTTATCACTTGAAGAATTTTTGTTTTCTAAATGTAACTAGAAAATTAAAAATGATTTTGAATAAGTCTCATATATTCTATAAAATTATAATAATTACTTTGACAAATTTTAAGGTACCCGAATTTCACGATAAGTAAAAAAAATTAAGATTTAGTAATAAATCTTTATTCAAATTATTGCTTCATTATAAAGGGAAAAAAATATCTGATTATAAAGTAATTCGCTGGTGAAAAAATCGCTTAATTTAGACTTAAATTTCACTGAGAAGTAGCGGAAAGGTCACTTAAAGACGACAGAAAGGTCACTGAAAGTCGACGAAATTGTCACTGAAAGACAACAGAAAGGTCACTGAAAGACGACATAAAGGTCACCGAAAGTCGACAGAAAGGTCCCTGAAAGTTGACGGAAATATGTGCACTGAAATGTGGCTGAAAGGTAAGGTATCTGAAATGTGACTGAAAGGCAACTGAAAGGTCACTGAAATGTATGCGCCATTTAGTGGCTGAATGGCTACTGAAAAGTTACTGAAAACCGCCTTTCAGTTTTTACTGAAAGGTCTTGTTTCTTCCTATGTTAACCTTACATAAAATCATCTTGGAGTAGTGTAGATTCTGAATTGTTTAAATAATAATCAGCTAGGATTGTCAAGGTCAAGAAAGGTTTTACAAAGCAGGAAATCTGGTAAATGGCAGAGTGGCGAAAGAGCGATGTGGTTCATGGACCTTTTGTAATAAAAATTTTCTTAATATTTTGATATACTTTATCATTTTTTGTTTTGCATGGGAACTCTTTGTAGAAGGGTAGATGAAATTGTGAAAAGGGTTAGAAGAAAAATAACGACGACAGACCTTTGGCTTAGGTAAACTAGTTAAATGTAGTTACTCATGGACCAATTGTAACATTGAACTTGCAGTGAGTGATTGAGATATTTTTTTTTATATATTTAATTATCCCAGCAGGCACACAACATTGAAAAAAACTTAGAATCAACGATGTTTTTCTAGGTTGATTCAATATTGATTCTATGTTAGATTTTGAAAATTTGTATCAACCTCGAAGACTTAACATTGAATCAACATTGATAATCAACGTTGATTTTATGTTGAAAAACAATTGATTCAACATTTATTCAATTATTTATTTTGGAAAGGTGTCATGTTGTTATAATCCAACATGATGTAAATAGGTATAATAGTAAGAGAGTATTATTTTCATATGCGCCTCATGGATAATATTAAATTTTGTGGTAATAAATCGTTACTCTTTCTATTCTCTGTGTTTAATTTCTTCATTTCATGATCTTCAAATAAAAATCATTTCTAAAAAAAGAAGCATATAGCTTTATACCTCAAACTATTTTCCTTTTTGGCTCTAATGTTATTGTTATTTATGAAAATTAATATTACGAATTTTAAACTTTCTAAAGTGAAATTTAAACCATAGGGTCGGGACTCCTTAAATGAAAACATACGGTATATCAATAGTATGTGAAAAAAGAAAATGTATAATGTACACAGTAAGTGTTTAACAAAATACATTTTATAAATTAGTCATGTTACAGAACCCGAGCTTTTGAAAACGTTTTGTATTTCACATGTGGTAATGAAATAGTCCAGAACAAGAAACCATTCCAAGATAAGATGCAAATCTTATAAGGTACAATTTTTGATGCAACAGATATACATTTCGACAAATTATGTCTCTTCAATGATACTCCAACTTCCCAAAATATTTTCTTTAAAGATTATTTTTTAATCAAATCTTGGTGTTGATACCGGAGGGTTTTGTTATATTTATCATTAAATGTGTAAAATTTCTATATTTACCATCTTTGTTAGTTATAATAGTTAGTAATGATATGAGGTAGTGTGACTTTGTCAAGTCCGACCTCGTTATGGTCCGACAGTGTTATAGTCCGACACTAACATAGTCCAAATTATCTATCAGCACAGGAATCGTCAAAGTTTAAACGATAAAGTTTTTATCGTCAAAAAAAAAATTCCGGAAAAAAGTTTTCCTACCCTTAACTAAAAAAATCCCAGGATGGCAACGTGTTTTGGGGGACCCACCTAAACAAATAGATCTGGGCTTGGCCAGAAAAATCTCTCGACTAATTCAGTTTCCGGAGCGTTTTTGTTATTCATTTAATGTGAAAATTTCAATCTGCTTGACGACGACGGCTGTTCCTAGCCCCTTTTCCACTTTGACAACTCATCCCGGACTCCATGCCACAAAACCGGAAGAGAATCTCGCAGTGTATATATGACGTTTAAGAAAACTTGTTCAAATGAAATAAAATAAATAATTGTTCAACGAACGATCCAGTTATTTTAAAAAATATTCTAAGACAACTTTAAAAAGTTATTTGTTTTTTTTCTTACTTGTACGACGATGTGTACCAAGGACAGATAATTCAGTTTTTACAAGCGCCAAATTTAAATCACTGAAAAGCCATGTCGACAAAGAGCCAAACAGTTAGACTAAGCGCCCTTATAAAGCATTATTTTGTTTGAAACATATATCTTTTTATTGATCACGTATGGTAACATAAAATTGTACATGAAGTTTTACATGCATTTTTATTTAGTTCTTTTCTTCAATTACATTATTTATTCACCTCGGAGTTCACTTCCAGTTAAGTGGCATGGAGTCCAGGATGAGCTGTCAAACTGGAAAACAGGCCATGAACAGGCCGTAGTCGTCTAGTAGATTTGATTTCTTAACTTGAATAAATAGGACAAACACTCCGAATACTAAACTAGTTGCGAGATTTTTCTGGTCAAGCCCTGATTTATTTGTTTAGGTGGGTCCCCCCAAAACACGTTGCCATCTTGAGGTCTTTTTAGTTAATGGTAGGAAATTTTTTTCCGGATTTTTTTCCTTTTTTTGACGATTTAAACTTCAGGCTCCTGTGCTATCAGCGAAAAATAAGATTGGCCCGTTCAGCGAAGGCGTTCGACGTTGAATCAATGTTGGCAATTCAACTCAATTTGAATTCAGTGTTCAACATTTAAACAACGTTGTGTGCCTGCTTGGATAATCCTTTGTTGAAATGAGTGACTTTTATTTGAAACTACCTCAAAGTATTTTCAATTTGATACTTAATGTTCCCGTGTTCTGAATGAATAGAAAGTTTATTTTTCCTAGTCTACATATTCCCATTCAAACCTGTCTCTGTCCTTTGTTGTAGTTTGGGAGGAAGGGAACATAAGTCGTTCAGACTTGAGTCTACACTTTATCATGAAAGTTTTACGAAAGATCTCGATTTTCTGGCACCGTTTTTTAATGTCCTTCTCAAATATGAACAGCCCGTAGTCGTCTAGTAGATTTGATTTCTTAACTTGAATAAATAGGACAAACACTCCGAATACTAAACTAGTTGCGAGATTTTTCTGGTCAAGCCCTGATTTATTTGTTTAGGTGGGTCCCCCCAAAACACGTTGCCATCTTGAGGTTTTTTTAGTTAATGGTAGGAAATTTTTTTCCGGATTTTTTTTTTTTTTTTGACGATTTAAACTTCAGGCTCCTGTGCTATCAGCGAAAAATAAGATTGGCCCGTTCAGCGAAGGCGTTCGACGTTGAATCAATGTTGGCAATTCAACTCAATTTGAATTCAGTGTTCAACATTTAAACAACGTTGTGTGCCTGCTGGGATAACCCTTTGTTAAAATGAGTGACTTTCATTTGAAACTACCTCAAAGTATTTTCAATTTGATACTTAATGTTCCCGTGTTCTGAATGAATAGAAAGTTTATTTTTCCTAGTCTAAATATTCCCATTCAAACCTGTCTCTGTCCTTTGTTGTAGTTTGGGAGGAAGGGAACATAAGTCGTTCAGACTTGAGTCTACACTTTATCATGAAAGTTTTACGAAAGATCTCGATTTTCTGGCACCGTTTTCTAATGTCCTTCTCATAAATGTTTCACTTATATGGAGACGCCAAAACTTGCCTATGGCGAGCTGCAAATTTTTGTCGAATACTCGGCACTCAAGGCCATTGAGTAGGGAGGGATCGATCATTTTCGTGCCAGCACCTTCTGCGACACTGGACCTCGCTTTATAAGGTCTTATCCAAAAGACCGATCTCAACGTATCATATTGGATTCCAACCCACTAAGTAGGGATCAACTCCATACGCTTTAATTCTAGAGCATAGGCTCTTACCAATACGCCACGCGGGCGCCCAGCACAGTGCACCTATTGAATAGATGGTGTAATCCACTGAAAATTTTTAAGGTAAACTTAAATACAAACATATATGATATCCTCGCCTAGCAATCTTACATTTCGACATTGGATATCATAATGATTCATTTTCTGCTTTTTTTTCATTATTTACAGATTGATCCTATAAGTGTATAAATTAGTATTTAGGTGTGAAAGTTTGTAAAATTGAGCATTTGATACAGATGAGCTAAAACAAGATAAAACAAGAAAACATTGATGTAATCATCAATTGTCGCCCGTGAAATATATAACGTAAACAATGGAAGTGAGTCTTGATCACCAAACCCCTTTGATATCTGTAAAAAGGCATGCGTCTAATTGATGGAAACGATAGTCGCCATGTTTTAAAAAAAAATATAGTCGGATAAAAATCAAACAAAAACGATACCATTTTGAAATTAATCAATTCCTCAATTACATGTTGGCTGCATAAAATATAAATTGAAGTTAGACACATGCATCTCCTACCTGTATATTAAAAATGTATAAATTTTCAATTTAAGAACACGAACTGTACAGAGCACGTTTGTATGCAGTAGAATTCAATGTTCTAAAAAAAAAGACCTGTCGTTCTTTCGATAGTAAATAATAAGCATCTTTATATATTAAATATGAAATACATATATACTTTTACAGATTCACTTTATGAAAATAAATATATTATGTATCTCGTATTTTACAAATAGAAAGAACATTCTGATTAACAATCTTTTCAATGTTTAGAAAACTTTTAATTCTAAAATTACTACTCCCACCCCAATCCCAATATACCAACCCTTAAACTTTATGTATCAGCAGTGCAGTTTTCCCTCGGGCTGCAATAATGTCATCAATTTTAATGACTTTTTCAAACTGCACATATTGTATAATAATATACAATGAAAAATACCAACATGAAGGTAGACATTATTTGATCTTTTATATTAGAAATGATATCATTATTCAAGCATGCAATGAGTCAATGAATCTTAGTAAGATTTTAAAAAGAGGGTTTAAGTACCGGATACGTATTTTATAGTAGAGCGTGTTACCAGTCGGTTGTTGATTTTGTAGTCCCCTGTTAATGTTTATGAAGATTTTATCGTTATATTTTCCTTCTTACTTGGTTTCCTGTAAGCTTTGTTGTCGATGATGTAAATGTCCAAGTGTGGATGTAGACCTATACAGGATCTCACGATGTCAGGTCTCCCGTATCTCCAGAGCCACGTTACGTGATCTACACTGTCCTGTGATCTCCCTCTGTAATGTACAGTTTCCCCTTCTCTTCTTAGATCCATTAGAAATTCTTTCCGCTTATCTCCACACCCCTTTAGTATTTGAAATATGACATTCACTGCCGAAAAAAAAGGAATATAATGTATCATAACAAGTACAAAA